TCCTGTAACCAGCGGCGCACGTGTGCAAGCTACAGTTATTTCACGCATAATTTTTGGTTGATATTTCTGGTTTATCACTTAAAATTTGTTATCCTTTTCGGAASAAATTTTTGCTTTTGTTGCCTCATCGCGTGGTTTGGGCACGGAAAAGGGTTAAAATTATGCCGCTTTTATTAGCCGCACTAAAATTGTGTCTTTGTGTGTGTGTGTGAGTGTRTGCCGAACCATAAAATCGCGATAAAAGAYCTTTCCCTTGTGGTCAGCAGATAATCTACACATTGCCGTTATAAAATTAATGTACTACCTTCGCCGTGAGGACTTACAATTCAGATTTTTTAATTAATAAATTTAAGCAGCACTAAAATGCAATTTATTAGACAACTAATTTTGACTCATCTATTACATTAAGGGGGTATTCTACTCTAGAATTTTGAAAATTTCGATTTTYTTTCACATATTATATTTAAAGTTTAGACCTTTAAGAACATATCYTACAAAGGATTTTYAAAAATTAAAATTATTTTAAGAGCTACAATTAGTTTACTAGGTAGGTAGACTCACTTTATTAAACGCGTTTTTCTCAAAACTACTTTTTTCCACACGGTACCGGCATTATCTCAAGTTCTATACAACCGTTTTACTTGAAATTTTGTGTGAACTCTCTTTATATAATCCCTTATTCTTTATCTTTATATAATCCTTAAACCTTTGTTTTTAATATTTAAAAAAATTCAGGCATTTCAAAAATAAAAAAAAAACGTAAAAAAATATTTTTATTTCCAGGCAGTCGCCATTTTTCAAAAAAATTTTGTTTCGTGTTCTCTGAAATAGGGACTATAACAGCATCCTTACTGATTAAGAATTTCTATCGATTTTGTTTTTTTCAGACCACCAGGAGAGTCAGGATCAATGCAACACCAGGATGCGCCATTTTTTTTTTACACCTGTCTCTCCCCCCCTCTAATTATTTTAATTTTTAATATTTTTTTGTAAATTTTTTTTTTCTGTATTCTTAAGATATCAATAAAAACATCATAAAAAATGGATGGTAAAAATATTTTTGGTTTCTTTTTTTAAATAAAATTCAAAAAACTGCCCAAAATTTGATTTCTAGAGTAGAATGTTCCCTTAATGTTTAATGAAAAGGAAAAGCAAAGGAAATATAAACTAAAAAATTAACGAAACATAACCTAAAAAATAAACTGCAGTTGCAGAAGAGATCAAAAATGTGATATTCTCTAAAATGATGACTTTTGGTGACTGCCGAGTCTAAGTAACCGGAACGGAGACGGACTTTTATCCGGCCAAGCAAAGTCAACTCGGCACCATTTCTCGAAATTACTTAGGAAGACCGCTACAGCAACAACAATAACACCTATCATCTATTGTGGACCTCTCAATGACGACAAATCACATATGCCCAGCAGAGATAAATTTCAGTATTCTATTGATGAGTTTTGATTCCTATTAGGGCACAGAACCAAGAGCCTTTATGCAGCATCAACAGACTGCCGTCCGGTCTAGCATCCGGTGGTCGGGAATTTCTAGCTCCATATCACAGAACCGCCCGTTTACACAAGAGGTTAGACACATGTTATTCGTCTCTCGGAAGGTTGATTACACTTTTAAACCTAGTGAGGTTGTAACCACCCATTAGCACCTTTGCTTGGCGTTATAACTAACCGGATAGTTCATGGCTTAAATGAAAAACCACCCTGCGACAGGACGATGTTCGTAGCGTTGGACTTGACCAGAAACCTTTGACAAGACAATCGACCGGCCAGTCATCCACTACGCCGTCTTAATATGGTCGCCTGAATACAGCAAGACGCTGATGGAGAAGATTCAGACCTAACCGGAGACAAACTCGCGCGAATAAACTAGTTATCGCAGACGTCTACAGCATCAAAAAGAGCGGAGAGAACCCAAAGCTTCACAATGTGACAGCAACAGTAGTAAACTTCATCCAAAGTACGATAGACGAACAGATTGATACCGAACATTCAATCGTGGGTAAATGTACAACATGAGGACAGAAGCTAACATCACAAATATTGTCATGACTTCGGTCCATACTGTCCGACGTATACAGAATGTATAGAAGGCACTGAAGGAAACGCTGAATACCTCTAAGAGCATAATAAACTTCTCTCCAAGCAGTTTCTGTTCTGTTGTTTTCAAAGAAGCCATCCCGGCAGTCAATTGCTTGAAGCGCGCCGTCTCGTAGGAACATCAGGAGAACAATTCGCCAAGATGTCGACGAACTAAAAAAATATACTGACGCTACCAATTTATAACAGTGGGATAAGTACAAAGGAAAAAGCCGGATTTACATACCAACAGCAACARCAACAAAAGCAACAGCAGASAATTTTTAAATGAAATCTCTGGATGAAACTACATGTCAGCACTACCTATCGGTGACTAGCTTCACTGCGCTAAGGTCGGTGTGTTGAGTAGCTCAAGCTCTCAATGTTTATGGACATTGTCAGCAGATGTCGCTAAAGCGCATTTCCGCTCAAGACTTATCGATTACAAATCAGTTAAGAATTCAGTCTCTCCATCTACGCGCGATTCATTTATTCAAAGATATGAGATATCGACCTGAACTTTTGCACACGTTCCGTTTTCCTTAAGAAGCTGCTCATTCCTCGGAGCCGCCGTTATCTGCGTACTATAGSATATAGCTGGCATACAAACTGAACGYTCCAAATCACGTTTTTGTATGAAAAGCTTTTGTATTTGACGAGGTATCTGAACAAAATTTGGCAAGAATTATTTTTTAAGGCAACGGTGCAATAYCCCAAGAAATTGTTARGATCGGATCACTATGGCATAAAGCTGTTATAAAAACTGAACGATCAAAATCAAGTTCTTGTAAGAAACACTACGTTTTTGTGAATGGTATTACAGCATCGGTGCAACCGAAGTTAACGTTTTGTCTTCTTTTTTTATATTATATACAAATGCAATATTTTTTTGTGTTTTTGTCATTTATAATTACAATGATAGTTACTATTTGACGATTATGGCGAAATATAAGTCTTCCTAACAGGAATTTCTTTCATAAGCATTTACTGTAATTATAAACGCGACATATGAGTATTAATACTTAACATACTATAATGTTAATAAATGGTTTTCATAGTACCTAATAATTACTAACTTATACCCTGAAGAATTACTAGTACGTCTAAGTACTTTACTACTACAAAATGCATTTTTAATTCAATACCTTGTAAGGAAATGTCCACTATAAACTAGTTTCACGCTTAGACATCCGYTTTGTCCTTTTGCCGCCAACTATATTGCTGCAATGTAGAGCGCACCTCCTTCAGCTCAACGAGTAAGGCCTCAACATTTGCACGCTCAATATTTAGTACATGTGTGGTGTCCTCTGGCAGCCCATCAATTAGCTCCTKTGCGATTTTTAATTCGAATTTGACGCAACCAACCGTGTTATCGGGCTGTTCTGGCGACGGTGGTATAAAACGCACTGACGAAAGCTCATTAACTGTAGCCACAATAGGGAGAACATAAATATAGAGCATTAAATGATAATAAATATATTTTCTTAATAAGTTTATAACACGCACTTCTAAATGCCTTGTCCTGCAAGCGCTGACGTATTTGCGTCACATTGGACGCCAAGACGCGGCACATTGACGCAGCATGCTCCTTGGGTAAGCCCAATTGTTGAATCTCTTCGCTGAATACCGCCTCAGTAACAGCATGACGCGAAGCGTTGATAAGCAAGAAATGTATGCAAGCAACAGCTGATTTGCCATCGTTTGACAAATCTGCTGTTATGGCCTTAATGGCGTTCTCCTGGGAATACAGAATATGAAAAAATAGAAATTAGCAAGATTAAGGATAGAACAGCAGAGTTTACACCTACCTCGAACTGTGCGCCAACAATTCTCTTGGCAACCAAACCAGCCAATGTCTCTAGATTCTGGGCGCTCAGCACGGATAGTGTGGATATAATCTCCGCCAAYACCCAGTCGGGACAGTCGCCATCACCACAGAAGCGGAATTTCTGCAAAAAGCAATCGTAAGCGATTAAATGAATTAACTGCGATTCCATACGGCTCAATTAAATAACGGCGAAGCAAGTAAATGAGTTGAAAGAATTAACATGAAGCGACAACATTTTAGTTCACGCACCATTTTCAACAATATTTGAAAGTCAACTCGCACGTAGAATTAAGTATGCAAATGTAAAGAAAATGTGCTATTTTAAGAGGTCTCCCGTTTGACTTTGACTCACATGCTTTACATAGTGGTGCGCTAATTAAATATATATATTAAACACGCTTCATGTGCGTCCCAAAGGCAAGTAAACACATTTGTATGCAATATACATATAGTATGTATGTATATATGTATATGYCCATATTTATTTTCACTTTTATTTCTTTGAGTTTCCATCTTTGCCGCGAAAGTGTTGTTTGTTAGCTAACTCGTAGAGAAGCAATTAATAAAATTTCCCTWTACTTGACTGTCAGCATAAACGTAGAATTTATGACACTTGTTGCTTGTGATAATTTGTCGCAGCAAAGTGCATAGACATTAGACAGCCCACCTACCACCCTCAAGTACAAGCTGCCTTTGCAGCTGATAGCTTATTATACGTGAACATGCTTGGTGTGTCGGCACCCCTTTCACTTGCTCACTTGCTGAAGCGTGCGTTAACGCCAAAAAGCACACTACAATTATTTGTATATCATTTTGAAATGCATAAAGTGTAACGGTTTAGAAAAAGCACTCCCTCATACCACTACTTTATAATGTGCTAATCGTCAGCATTTACCGTTTTGTTAGCTGTAATTATTTAACTGTAAGCCTTTCTTGTGAACGTAAATATGTATACACACGTATATATGCATGTTTGCCTTTAGTTTGCCAGCGAGTTGGTAGTATCCTTAGATGCCGCACATAATTTTTGCTATAAATATGCCTGTAAGTTTTCAATTCTTCACAGTTTGTGATCGGTAAAACACTGAATAACGTTATTTAAAATTTTAGCAGTGAAATTAGTATTGAAACGAAATTAATAATACCCATCGGATACGCCGTTTATTGTGCGCGGAAGTTGCAACAAATCTATTGAAATACGTTTAATCGGGTTTAAGGTACTTTAACTATTCGAAAGTTATATGTTTCGCAATAATGCTTTAATTAAATGTGTGTTTACAATATGGTGACTGCACACCGCACTCCTGCCCTGCATAGTAATTTTCAAAATAATTTTTGTTGCAGGATTTTTGGCTGGTTACTTTCTTCAACATGTACATCATACACACAATATTTTCCATCACTTTATTGATTTGCTTTTGCCAAAATGTATTTGTATTGGCACAGCCCGTTGGTGATGAGCTTAGCACATGCGAAGATCAGCTTACAAAATATCGTCGCTTTTTACTACAAGCCATTTTAAGCTTTGAAGATGTRTGTGATGCTTACGACACACATCCACTTAATCCACTTGAAGTTTTATATAGTCAAGACCAACAAGCCTCCGCTAACGCGCCGCTTTTCCGTGCACTACAAGGGGGCAGCACCGCCAGCGAGCAACGTAATGAAATTTGGGCTTTTTTCAAACTATTGATGGCACAATTTAACGATATGGATTTTGCCAACATCATTAAGGAGGCAGTTATTGATCGTTGTCGCATGAAATCCCAACTGCAACATGACGAAAAACGCAATTCCGTTGTGTTGGGTAAGAAGCAGCGGTTCCATTCGTGGGGCGGTAAACGCGCACACCTTTCGGCTGACGACCGAAGCATGGACATGTTGTAAGCGGGAGTAGCTGGTTTATGGATATAACACATTTAATAACATCTTCARAATACTTTACGGGCTGGATACCTTTGTTTATTGTATATAACTATCAAATATTTTAACACAAACACAAAAGCATGTAACTTTGAAACTATTGCATGTTCGCTGCAACTACATTAAAGTACAAAAAAGTAAAACATTTGTTATTTTTATGATAAGAGGGAAAAACTTACCATTTTAGTAAAATATTTGGAAGCTTATTGGTTTTTGGCGGTGCAGACAGATTTTTGACAACAAATAAGYGAAATTAAATGAACAATACAAAACAGCTGTTCTTGCATTGCCAACTCAAGTGCGTATTGGCGCAGAGAACGTAAATTTTATACGGTCTCTGGCGTTAGCGTCAGCCGCGTTGCCAACTAATATATAGTAGCTGTCATAAAATTTTCCGCCGGAAAGACGTTTAACATCTGTCTCTTATACATATCTAGATGTGTATAAGAGACTAATATATAGTAGCTGTCATAAAATTTTCCGCCGGAAAGACGTTTAACATACGCGAGTTTTATTTMCACGAAAATTTAGTGAATTTACAAATATTTCTATATCATTTAAACGTTAATGTGTAGATTTCAATGTAAATATTAAGAATATTTCAAAAAGTGTGCTGTGGTTATGTTTTTTAAGCAATAAAAGTTGCATGAAGGAAAGTCGTAAGGCAGCGGTAGCWTGCGCTGGTATTTTTAGCTTTTGTRTGTAAAAGCGTTAATATTTCAYTAAAATACAATAAAAATGGAAGTTTGCATTATTTGTAAGCTCAAATTTAACACAAACAAAACTTGCGGACCGGTAATATGGAATATCAGCGAAATGACACTACTGAAAGAAGCAYAGGCAAACTCTGGGTGAGTGCGTATGTTTGTACGAGTATGAATTTCAACTATTAAGGTTATTGTATATTTCCAATAAATCCAATTATGTAAGTGCCACATGCAGTTGCATGAAAAATGCATATTAATTATCGCCCACATGACTTCTACTGTTTTATTTGTAGGCAAAACGAGRAGTCTATCAAAACATAACCTAACTTTTAATTTAGTAGCAGTTACTTATGCACCACACACTAAGCCAATATCTGTGCGCTTGTCTGCCTTTTCTTTGCAGTTTCCTCGTGTCAGTCACGCATGCTCCGCTGCCAAAATGTTATTTGGCCCAAAACCACAGCGAGATAAACGCGTTATTTGTGAGATATGCAGACCAACTTCGGCGTGGGCGTGAATTACCGTCCTGTATTTGTTACTTGGCATGTGCATACCTGCGTCAAAGCGTTGCAACTTTTCCAGTTTGCTCACTTTTTAGGCTGAAAGTGCCTTAATAAAGTACAACGCCGCCGCGTGCTTAACAAATGTTACTCTTGCTGRCGTTTGACTAGTTGACTGCCGTAGTTGCGCTCCCTCGGCTGATTTATTGTCATTTCCCACTAACAACTGCAGCTGCAGCGTTAGCAACATTTGGTTCGCTGTACACGACCACGCATAAAAATGTAGGAAATGTTTGCATATTTTTCATAAGCWTTGCTGCGTATCGCGAATTCTTGCAGCGCAGCAGTAATTGGAACTGTGTATGCGCGTAATATGCCTTAGTGTGGGTGTGTCGCTCTGTTGATAGGAATTTCTGCCAATGTGCATACATATGTATGTACGCGTGCCYACTCTATTGCTTAATGCGCTTTATTTATTAATATTGCTGCGTTTTCTTTGGCTGTAGATACCTTCGGGTTAACGTTTATCAATCGATTGCATTTCATTTGTCTGCAACACGATTTAATGTTTCTTCGGCACTGCTTCGTTGCTGATAAGGTTTCCACAGTGGCTTGTCAAGTCGCTGGCTGTGTGGTCGCCAAGATACGCTTGCGTATTTACATTAAAGAAATGATAATTTTATGCATTTATTGTGCCTTCAACAATTAATTTTTACACTATCCCATTTCCGTTGGTAAACTTTTAATTATGCAAGTCCTTTAAATTCGAAATTAATTATGTTTTCAAAAACTATTTTTTGTTAGTAAATATAAATTTATAGAAACAAATAATAATGTTGGGCAACCTTCATGTACAGCGTCGGATATGCGAGTACCTATGTATTATACTATTTTGTATATAGCTGCGCCCTACTTTACTAATCTCTGCGCCGTGAAATAAAAATACTCAAGTGCTAAAAATGTGGATCGCTGCTGTTTGAAGCCGCAATGTTGGGTCAGAGATCACACAAAAAATCGCCAATTTATTTCATTATTATTGTCAGCTTTAATTATTTTTATTTACGTTCTTAATATTTTTATTTTTTTGTCGTGATTGATGGGTATTTTTGCTTTATTGTTGTTACTACCGTATATGCTGTTACAGTATCTCAATCAATGGACAAAAACAAAAACTGAAAATGCAAATAGAGTCAAGCTGGCGGGTAGTGGGGTGCAAAATTTTAAATAAATCTGACTGCAAGGTGCGCGCAAGTGAAAAATTTTTTGCTGCTTCTCTGAAAAGACCTATTTGGTGCTGATGGCCTTAGCCACTGTTTTGAAAAAAACAACAAACATTTTGTATATTTATTTTAAAATATATTAATATATTTTAAGCAAGATATTATTCTTATCTATTTCACAATGATGTGAATGAAATCAAAAATAATTGAAATGTCGTAGCAAATTTGCGTATTAAAAAATAAATTTATTATTTATGTTCTCGTTGATGGAAATCTATAAAATGTACTTATTCATGGCACTTGCATCGCCTGTTTCTTAATGTTTGTTGTTGTGGGTTTTTTCCTTGCACTTTCTAGCTGAACGGAAGYGCAAAGTAGATGTCACTGTAATGAGATTGAACATATGATACTTTTTTAACAAGTTCTATGTGTAATGTACATATATAGTCGGGGTGTTCGTTTGCCTTAAGAAAATCATAACACAAGATGCGAAGAATGCTGAATTGTTGCAAACCTGTTTTTCTCCCCAATAAGATGCTCATTTGTCGGAATCGTTGATATCTGTACCACATCATATAGCTGCCATACAAATTGATTGATAAAAATCATGTACTTGTATGAAAAACTTTTTTATTTGATGAGATTTCGGCACGAAATGTGACGACGAATATTATCTGAAGTARAAGTATATTCTCCAGAAAATTTGTTCAGATCGGATCACTTTAGCATATAACTGCCATACAAACTGACCGATTTTATATAGAACATTTTTTTATTAGATGAGATACTTTCACGAACTTTTACATGGACTATTACCCGAGGTAGTAGTATAATCCCTGAAGAAAAATCAAATGCTTGTATGAAAAACTTTTTTATTTCAGAATATATCTTCATGAAATTCGGCAGAGCTTACCGCCCATACTAAGACTATAATCTCCGAACAAATTGTTTAAATCGGACCACTATAATACAGAGCTGCCATATAAATTGATCGATGAAAATCAATTGCTTGYATGTAATACTTTCTTATTTGATGAGATATCTTTACAAACTTTTACACAGATWATGACCATAGCCATTAGTATAATCCCTGCAGAAATTGTTCTGATTGGATCACTATAGCATATAGCTGTCATACAAACCGATCGACGAAAATCAAGTTCTTGTACGAAAAATTGCTTTTTATATCTGATGGGTATTATTAAAGTTCATGTTTTTATTTTTTTTTAATTTTTTGCTTTATGTTGTATTCTTAATTTACGTCCTTTTTGTCATAATCGCGCATTTTACACACATTTAAAGTAGTCTGCGGTAATCAGCTCTTTAATGAGCCACTGATGTCAATGACGTCAGCTGATAAGAGAAGCGTAGGCGAATAAGGAGAATGTCAAAGCCTAAAAATAGCATTACCTACGCAGTGGGGAAGATTAACGGCGTAAAAGAACTRATTTGCAAGAGATTTAAAGCAGGAGAAGAAAAACAAGAACAAAAGAATGTTATCAGTCATTTTAGTTTTAATCTCAGCAACAGAAATTAATTAAACAATTATCACTCTAAGTGTTACTTTTTGAAATCTGCAACTTAGCGCTAATTATCGAAAACTGAATTCATAAAAAATTTAATTATTGAAAAATTATTAAAAAAAAAAAGTATTATTTTATTTCATTTCTATGTTATATATTATTTCTAAATTGTGTTGTTATACAAATTTAYTTATAAATTTCTAATTTTGTGTATAAACTAAAAAGCGCATAACTCACTTTGGCAGGTTTTCATAAATTTTTTATTAAAATTCCTACATTTCGAAGAAGTTTAATGTATATTATAGATTTTTATAGGAAAATATTTATAATTTATAGCAAGTATTTGATAATATTAACTTATAACATTGGCTGCTGTTGTGATAAGCACGCATTTCCGAAATACTATTTCGCTCTAAAYGTTATTCAAAACATTAATAATTAAAAGAACTAAAAAAAATTATAATAATAATAATGACCAAGGCACATACATTTTTCGGTGAAATTTGTGCASTTTTTTAATTTTTTTTTTAATTTATGGCGCATAATTATGTTGACCACACTTTCATAATTCACACATAAATAAAACGAAAGCGGCGACACAACTTGTTTACGGGCGTAAAAAGAATCCGCTTAACTGTCACATAAATAACTAAATATGTCATTATTAGCTACTGCATTAGTATATCATGGTTGATAATTTTAGCAAAAACTTATTTTTGGCAAGCGAAATTTTTACACAGACACACAGACCGTTATAGCATATAGGAGTATTTTTTTATTTTAGTGTATTGGATTCTGGGAATAACAGGGAATGGAAAACAAAAATATATTTTAGAGAACTAAAGAAATTCTATTTTTTTATTAAACCGTTGCTTTAGGCAATAACTCTTAACAAATTTTGTCAGAATATCTCTTCTAATGGAAAAGTTTTCCATACAATCACCATATTTTGATCCTTCAGTTTGTATGGCAGCTATACGCTATAATGGTCCGATCTACACAATTTCTTCAGAGATTAAACCTCTGTTTTAGGCAACAATATACGCCAAATTTGGAGAAGATATCTCGTCAAATGAAAAAGTTTTYAATAAAATGACTAGATTCYGATGATTCAGTTTGTATGACAGATACACGCTATAGTAGTCCGAAAACGGCAGTT